TCCTCTCCTCGAGCTCCCGATCATTCCGACAAGTGGTACCAGGGTAGCACCTAACGAAATGCCATGCTCACTGGGGTGATTCACTATTGGTTATAAATAACACGACACACCAATGTCTCACGATACCTCGGATGAGCTTCGATATTCGCTCAAGAATATGCCACAGATACCATTTCTGAAATGTCTTGTTTGCAAAGAACTGTTGAAGGCACTTACCTCTTATTTCTTCCCTATTTCTTTGTCTCCAACCTGATCCTTCCCTATCAGGACTCAAGGTTTAAATGCATAACCTGTAATGTAATGCCCATAAACCCGCATTAGGGTTGACAGCACCTATCTGTATCTTTGTTGTACCCCTGTAAAATCTTAAAACCAATTTGAAAAACAAAAACCTCTGTGCAACTGCTCTGTGAGCTGCCCAACTTTACACTTATTTGTGCATTACTCAGCCATAGATCCTCAAATCATCTCTGAATTGGTGAAGACACCGTCCTTTCTTCTGGAGGGTGGCTGCTCCTGTTCCCCATGGTCCCTGTGTGTGTTGTAAAGTAGTCACCGCTCCAAGTTCACTCCAGCGATTGACTACAATCTCAATACAAATTAGTGTCATGAGATTGTAGTCCATCACAGGAGAGAGCTTTGAGCCGTGGATACTTTACAACACACACAAGCACCATGGGGAACAAGAGTAGCCACCCTGCAGAAGGAAGGACAGTGTCCACACCAACTCACAGATGATTTGAAGATCCACAGTTGAGTGATACACAAATAAAAATACATTTTAATAGTTAAGGTACTTGAATGCATTTTTAAGGTTTAACTCCTGAGTTTAGGAGTTTGTATGTATACCCTAGTATGCCAAGCCTGCCTACATGTCACCACAGATCAACTTTATTGCAATTGTGATATTTTTTGCTTACTGTTAGGTAGCATAGAGAGTCTGCTCATGGACATTATGTAACCATTTACATAAATAAAAAAAATAAAAAAGTCCTTTTGCTGAAAAACTGAATCAATCACAAAACTTGCGATTCCTCTCATCTTGAAGATGTTGTCATGGGAGTGTATTTAATACATTCCATTCCAATAAGCTGTACACTTGAGAAATACTCTCATTTTGAAAGCTCTTATGCAAACAGAACCCAGAATAAATATGGGAGTATGAACATTTTATTATTCACTAGTTCAGTGCCATTTTCTTCACCTTCCTTGCACTGGTCCATAAATACCACCAGCCAATGTTTAAAAAAAAAAAATCTTTCTTGGAAGACGTTAGCAGCCCCAGCAGACTTAGACCTGCCACCTAAGTGACACTCTGTAATATTCTCCTTTACTTCTCCACCAGCTGTTACATAAAAGGGATATAGCGAGGTGAGGGTCAGAGGAGCTAGGCCAGCAAAGACCGTAATTCCACACTCCTAATAGAGGAGAGGGCTAAGCTATGGAATTCACTCTCCCTGGAGTAGTTATAATTTCTACCAAGTTTAGAGGCACATTGCAAGTGAATAAAAAAATAGTTCATGGCATGCAAAAATGCTTCAACTAAGCATAATCCTTGAATTTTATGGGCTTTTAGCAGCACTTTAAGTTGCTGACAGGGGCTCCATGTCAGAACACTGTTTATGGCTGGTCTCAGTTGGGAGTGCGCATATAGCCACAGACATTATTTGCAGTTAAAGGGACACTGTCATGAGAGATAAATGGATGCTTCCTTTACTGTATTCTCCTTTAAGAATGATGGTTCCCTGGATGTCATTCTCATGCTTTGACTTCAATGCCGTCTGAGTTGCTGAACTGGAACATAGATAAGTAGCTGACACTAAACACCTAGCATTTTCAGGAGGCCCACAATGGCAGCCCCAAACATCTCTCATAACATACACACAATGGGTTGGACTTGATGGACATATGTCTTTATTCAACCTCAAATACTATGTAACTATGTAACAGTCACTTTAAAGCCCCACTCCGGGATACTGTTACATGTATCCATGCAGTGGGGTCCCCCTGGCACTCCAAAGGTTTAATGCTTGTTTGGCTAAGAGGGAAAACGAATAAGTACATACCTTATAACGTGCTCCCCCAGCAGTAGGCACATTGTATGTGAAGACACAGAGCTGCAACCAGTCAACCAGAAAAGTAACAGGGGGGAGGGGGCACCAGTTGCAGTGCAGGAAGCAGATACAAATTTCAATATATTCATTTCTATGGTAGCCAAACGAGCATTTAAGTCATGCAGTGTGTGGAGGAGGGTCCCACTGGATGGGGAAATTAAGCAGCAGCCCCAGAGTGGTTTTTAACCGTGACAGCATTATTTTTAGTCCATTACCTTGTTTCTAGTCTATGCCAGTTCACTGTGTTTCTTCCCATTAATCATTTCTGTGTAGACTGAAGTGTGGATTTGGAAAAGCTAAAATACATTTTGAAGGTTACTGTTGCCCAGTTGGATGTCACTGCAATCAGAAACCACCCGAACAGTGCCTTGTACTGCAATCAACGATCATTGTATGTGGACACTGTTCCTGTGGGACAGCACTTATAAATGCCAGAGCACAGCAAAAAATTATAATGAAGAAAAAAAAAATACATTTCACATCTGAATGAGAGAAAAAAAATCTGACATATCTGTGCATCGGTGTGTGTATATAGTGCCATTTCAGCTTTTTATCTGTTCTACCTGACGAAAAAGCAAGAGTGCCAAAATCTTGTCTTTAATATTTTAGTTAGCCACTAGAAGCAGGGCTGGATTAACATAGGGGCTGGTGAAGCTCCTGATCGCCCGGGAGCCCACACTAACTGGCCAAGAGCCTTATTGGTCCACTGAGAACCTGAATAGCCCCCCTAAAGCCCGCACAGCTCTCCTGGGACCCTAGAGACATCAGGCAGTGAACCCAGAGCAACACACTGGGATTTTTAGTCCTCTATAGCTGATGGTATTATTCTTCAGTGCTTTACAATGTATTGCTGGGATTTGTAGTCCTCTATAGCTGGTGCCATTCTGTATTGCTTCATAATGTATTGTTGGGATTCGTAGTCCTCTACAGTTGGTGGTATTCTGCATTCCTGTGTAATGTTTTACTAGGATTTGTAGTACTCTATAGTTGGTGGTATTCTGCATTGCTGAATAATGTATATAAAAAAACAACAGCATGCAAAAACAAAAATTGAACCACACGTTACATACTGTCACGAACTTCCGAGTGAGAGCAATAATTCTAGAGCCATCAATCACTGGTAACAATAAACTAATGAGCAGTAAAGGCTTTTAAAGTGTCGCCTTTGAGAAAATTTTGGGTATTGTAGTTTTTTGCGATTTTAAAGTCTTGAATTTTTTTTGGTATCTATTTACCTGGCGTGACCCCCATATTTCATATTTTACCAAAAACTGGGTATTATATTCTGTTTCTGTGCACTAAATTACCTTAGTGTATTTTAGCCTAAAAATACCAGTTTGATAAACATTTGCGCAAATACCGTGCAAAATACAAATTTGCAACTAGCATTCTTTTATTCTACAGGGCCTCTGCTTTCAGATAATATCTCATTGTTTGGGGGTCTGAAGCTGTTTTCTAGCCAAAAATTCGGATTTCATCATGTGTGTGCGCGCAAATAGTAAGAAATTGCTCCGGACAGAAAGTGATCGCGATGGACATAAAAGTGAAAATAATTGAGAGTGGAGCAAAGCCAAAAGATGAAAGACGTCACTCATTCTTATAACCTGAATTGTTGAACCATTGGCACGATTCTAAAGAACATGGACAAGATCATGGAAGATGTGAAGTTTGCTGTGCCGATGTCTACAATAATATCAAAGAAGTGTGTAAAAGCGGTGGAAGAGATGGAGAAACTTCTCAGTGTGTGGTTGCAGAATCAGCATTGAGTCCTGCTGAGCTTGATGCCGATTCAAGAGAAAATTAAAAGACTTGAAGAAACACACAGCGAAGAATCAGAGGGCGCATCTTTTAATGCCAGTTAGAGCTCCTCAATCATGAGCTTTACAGACGCCAGAGCTATAGGGCCACATACAGTTGCTGCCACTTCAGCAGATAAAAGCAGGATCCAGTGAAAATAATTTGGAATAAAAGGCAACAAAATAAAGCAAAAAGGGCCTTTGCAGTATCACTTAAGGTCAAGTTTGTATTAAATGCAAGCTTCAGAATTCCCATATGTTACAATTCAAACTGCCAGAACCTTTAGTCCTTAGCTGCTATGTTGATTATCACTGCTGCATATTTCAGTGGGTCTTCATCTTGCATAGATTGCACATTCTGCACGGTCCTGAACATACACAGAAGCCCTTCTGTAGTAAACAGTCCTTTGCAGTTATAGTAGGCCGAATCTTGATGTGAATCATTAGCTTTTCCTCTAAACAGACGCAAAATGAAAACACAGACACAGATGAATAACTTTTTATGGTTCACTTACTTTGGCTCAATTTTGTGTTTTGCCCAGTATTCTTTAACAGGAAAGAAAAGGGCATTTTCAGTGACTGCATATTTTGAATTATTGATTGCTGTAAATAAACTTTTTACAAACTTGTATGTAAAGCCTTGTATGGATGTGTAAGCAAAGCCCAAACTTTTTTTTCTAGACAGAATGTGGAAGGGTTAGAACTCTTATCTGATTTAATTGTGGTCATGAGCGGTCATGAGAACAGGAGGAGTGGAGAAATCTTCCAATGGAGGCAATCTGTGAGATATCCACACGCTTTGGAATAAAATCTCCACTTTCTTACTCTTCCTTCCTGCTGTGTCTTAGGGACACGTAAATATTCCCTGACAGGAGAAAGAAATTCACAGTGGTCTACATTGTTTTTTTTTAGATTTCGATGGTATATGAAATTAAGTTTTAACTTTGCATAGAGCTGGGAATAACAAAATCGTGTAGCAAAGTAGGAATCAGAGCCCAGATAGGAAATGTGCAAATATCACTACACCCACAGATAGAAACAAGGCTTTTAATCCTGAAACGGTCAAAAGACACCATTAATGGCCTGTCCTCAGCAGTGAATTCGGCAGCTACACAGCCTTCCCTGGCAAAAACAATGAAATGCTAAATTAAAAGAAAAAAAAAAAAAAAAGAAAAAAAAGAAAATCACACACAGCAATCTGCGTAGTGTGATTGCCGTGTTTTGACACTTCTGTTAATCTCAACGTAATATGCATCAGATTAAAATGAAAAGGTGCATTTACAGCCTCAAGGATTTTAGTCAACATTGCCCATTTACAGTTTTGGGTACCTGTTTATACCTATTCATTAATTAACATGATACAGTTTTATCTGCTACAATGTGTGTAAAGTCTGGAGATTAGGTTGTGTTTACATGCACCAATAAGACTTCAACATATTCTAATAGAAAACACTGATTTGACTAACATTTGTGTAGCACCCTAAAGGAATGAGTGCTATTAAATGTAGTGTTATCAGATTGTAAGCAGACTGATGCTGATTTGTAGTCTGCTCATTTGGTTTCCCCTAACCAGTCTGTCATCGTTTGCATCTGTCTGCTACTGGGTGTACCTTGGCCGCAGAGCAACCAATGAGAGATGGGCAAAAAGCAAGTGAAATTACCACTATAGAAAGTAAATTCCTTGCTGAACTCCTTACCAGGAATCCCATGCAAATATGTGGCTGGGTGCTCAAAGTGACTGCGGATGGCGCCGCCAGAGTAAAGATATTTGAAGAATGTCACCAGCACACCGATTTCTTTACAGCAAATGAATAGTCATTTATTAGTCAATAGTCAAGCTTGAATACAGCTACACTGATCACAACGGCAAGAGTGGAGAAGAAAAAAAAAAACGACCAGAATTTAGAGCAACTCATTACAATACACTGAGAACACCTGATCACTGCAAAGGAAAATTGCCATCTGCACATAAATGTCTGCCTACTGACTTGTGAAGCAGCAAAATGTGTGTTTTCTTATACAGGATTACAAGAGTCACATACAGAGAGCAGCGCTCTTTGCTTAGGTGCTGGCACTGCTGTTCCTTCAAGACTTGCTTCTGCAACAGCTCCCAAGCAGTTAATGACTGCAGGGCATTGTATAATATTTCAGATTAATCTCGTGAGTAGCAGTGCAGCATGTAACAGAACAGCATTGTGCGCCAGTGACCCGACATAGTGACTTGTTTAACCCCCTTGGCGATGAGCAGTGCTATGCTGCTAATCGCTGCCAGGATCCCAGTGCATGAAGAACATGGTGAGATACAGGACAAGCTGCACAGTACACAGAAATGCAATGACGTGTGACTAATGACTGCTTTCCCCTGCTTCAAGTTCCAGCTCATTGCCCAGAAGCAGGTGACGCACTATATAGAATGTACAGCTGTGTGTCCTCACACTAAAGGCATCAGAGAAAACAATTCAAAACCTGGTGAATAGCCTTATTTATATATAAACAATGAAGGAAAAAGCGCGTATTATACGCCAATTATAGCAAGCCAGATTTTACTAGGGTCCGTACACAGAAACAAGAACGTTAGCCGCTAAAGAGGAAAGCGCCACAAAAGGAGACACACAGTTAACAATTCCGAGGGGAAAATTGTGCTTTTAATTACCAACATGAGCCTTGGCATATGACTATATCCCCAGTACCAATCCCAGCCACCCCCTACCACCATATGGTAACATTGTTGCACAGGTGCACTTGTGTTTTCATGTGTATAATCAATTAAAAAAAGTTAGTGCCTGGGCAAGGGGAAAAAAAAAAATGAAAATCGGCACATCCCTGGAATACATGCACATTTCCCTGTGTTTTGTCGCTTTCAAAATATTGAAAGAATCAAAACATACCTCATGATTGTGCCAGAAATCCAGTGAGCACCCAATTGTAGTGAGCAGACAACATGGCCTCTGCTGCACTGAAAGCAGTGTTATTAGACCTGCCTGAGTTCCCCCTGGCTAGACTACAGAACTCCCCCATATGTTATGGACATAAAAGGGACAGGGCACTCAAAAGCAAGCATCTCACCGTGCGAGTAGGTAAGGTGTGCAAGAGAAAAAATGCCCCAGTACTCCCAAAAATTCTTACAGCAAACACTATATTACATGTTCCACAGGCTGATATCAGAATGACAAGAACTGCATGTACATGTCTAACCAATGCCCAAATGTTCTGTTTCTTTAGGGGCTGCACTGGTAATACATGGTGGCATTATGAAGGATGTGATGCCTTGCTATGCAGCATTACCTTGCTTTTTCTCAAGATATTACTGCTTTTAGTTAAAGATGAAATCCAAGCACCAAGCAAGCTGCTAGATAGACAGTTGAAATCATATATAGGAAATTTGTAATTTTAGTTATTCTTTTCGACCAGTCTTGTGATCGAATGTAGGTTTTTGACCTCTACTACACCACCAGCCAGTTGATTGAACAAGAGTTTAACCTAGAGTTTAGCTTCAAGCATTTTCCTGTTTATGAGCACAAGGTAAAGGGTATAAAAGAATAAAGCACTTACCACCAATCCTGGCATTATAAGCAATGCCCACTATGCAGTAGGAGTTATTGGCAGATGCAGCCACTTCGCCAGCACAACGAGTGCCATGCCTGCCGGGGGAAGAATGAAGACTTTATATTAAAATATGTATTTATCAGGCTGCAGCTTCTACACCTGCTGCACAAACCTTTCCATAGCTGCACAGACCTTTCCATAAAAATAAACCTTATGAAGGCTGGCAATTAGATGCCCACCACTACACTCTAACACTTTCCATGACTGGCTTTTAATTAAAACAATTCAAGCCATGTTAGCCTGCACCATACCACACTCCATTGAGATTCTTATTCATCAACAGCAAAAGGTTCAATCTTTTATTGAAAAGTAACATCAGGAGAATGAGACAAAATCCAGTTTGTTTCGGTCGACAATGCAAGTTGTTCTTTTGTAGAGGATTATTTTAATAAGTCTTGCTGTGCCTTTACCTATCTTGTGTCTTATGAACTCATGACCAGGCTTGCTCTGAAAAGGTAGCAAAACAGGTAAGCCACCTATGAGTGGGCAAGCTAAAGCAAACTGCATCCCCAAAACCAATGGAGGGTTACAAATGATCGCAGTTCAAAGTTCTCCAAATTGTGTGTGGCCAAAATCTAAAACTACACAAAAAACTGTTAAAAAACAAATATTCAGCACAGTTCTGCAATACGTGAACATAACTGTATAATGAATCTCTAAAAAAACAGTGCAAGTACTGAAAAGTACCTGATGATCCTGCCAGAGATGCACTCATCGCCTAACTTCCTATAGAGGGTTAAGAACACTGACACTTCTGCACTACAATTAGAGAGGGGCAATAAAAGCAGGTAGCTGGTGTGAGAGGGGAGCAAGTGCAAACAGTTATGGATATGAGGTGTGCCGATATAGTTCATCAGGGGAAAAGCCTGGCAAGGCTGACAACACTGCTTAAGCTTTTAGTGCAGCAGATGCAGTGTTGTCAGCCCACTAAAGGAAGTGCAGAGCTGACTGCATTTCAATGCAGGATCATCAGTCATTTTGAAGGCACTTGCAGTGTTGATCAAGAAACATGGCAGGGAAACATGCATGTATGGCAGAGCTGTGCTGAATGTTTTTTTCATTTTGCCCCCACATACAGTACACTTTAACCCATAATTCAAGGGTCTATAACAACTCATAACAATTGCAAATATCTCCAATAGATCTCCCTAGATTGCAGGAAAATGTAATCAGTGCCCAGTGGAGTTCTATAAGAACAGAGGCAGGATAACCAGGTTATTGATGTCATATTACAGGTGGAAGTACTTTCTAAGTCAGTGTGAACAAGGGCTGCAACAAACTAATCGATTAATCAATAATAGATCATGAGAATAGTTGTCAAGTATTCTCATTATTGATTAGTATCTTGGATCCCCTAGCTCTTTCCTCCATGCTGGGAGGAGGGCACAGCAAGCAGTGGGTGGGTGCAATAGTCAGCCTGCTATTTGCTATTGCAATTTGAAATGGCCTATAGTAGGCTGGCTTTTACACCCGCCCACTACCTGCTGTATTTACATTCAGCTGCCGTCTGTGGAATCTTGCCACTGGCAGCTGTTATTCCCTGGCTGAATCTATTCAAGCGCCATGTGCTTACAAAACAAAAATTATTTTAAAAAAAGGTGGGAAAAGTCATTTTCGGTTTCAGCCTGACAAATTATTCTGCGGAAGGTGCGCTGCAGTTCCATTTATTTCAATGGCACCCCAAACGCGCCTCGCACCAACAGTGTGATCGCCCGCACTGGAACACAGTGCTACTTTAATAAAATTGTGCATGCATTTTTATTCTGAAGTAAACTTTGTAACACCGCATTTGTGTATTTAATTTTAAATTAAGGATTTTATTTAATCCGATCAAAAATAAATAAATCGGCAAAACTAATTGATTATGAAAATGAACATTAGTTGCAGCCCTAGTGTGAACAGTGGCTAAATCAGACAGTGAGCCCAATAACATACTTATTTTCATTGCTGGCATCATATCGTGGACTTGGGTCCTGGTCATCTCCATTCACATCATGGCTGGCATATGGATCCTATAATAAAATTATTAGTGGTGAGAAAAGGAGGTGCTCTCTCTTTAGATGGCAAGCATCTGCATTATGGGTAAATTAAAGCAAAATGATACTATATATAAACACAATAATATATATATTAACTGCAAAGTTGCAGTTGGAGAGCAGCAATGCCATTGCTATTTGGAGAAAACCGGACTACAAAACAAACCTTAAAGGGTCAAATCTATCTCAAAGGGACCGTGTATCATACCATAGAAACCACATTTAAACTTTCAGATGCTGAGAAAAAAAGGCCTACTGCTCATACTACAGTACGCCAGATCACTCGTTTGGAAATTGACCGATGAGCGAGCACCCATTCAAGTGTCTTCCATGTAAACTGTCAGTATTCCCTAAAAAGAACCTGAACTCTAAATGCCAAGCCCAAAAGCAGAGGACAAAGAACTAGTCTCTAGTAATGCCTGTGGTCACGCTGAAGGGGATCTTATCCAAATTACTGACTTATGCCTTGTTCTGTACTGTGTCTGTGTGGAGGCAGCCATCAATGTAGAGACAGGGCTTGGCTTCCTTATGTCACGGCTGCCCCCACCCCTCTAAATTACTGGTGACCTGATGACTAGTGGGGTAATATCCAAGAAGCAGGAGATGTGCAAAAAGCAAGGAGAACAGTACAGTAGTGACATCACCAAATCTCATGAGACTAGCAATGAGAGGTAGCAGTGCCTTATATGCCCTGTAGATATACATCTGTGAGGCTGCAGGCAAAGATGGTACAATGCTATTTTTCAGGAGAAATTCAAGACAACAGGTAGATTTTTCAGGGTACAGCTTGAGCACAATTAACATTGCTGGACGTTCTCTATAAAATAGCAAATCAAATAACCGTTACCGTCAATATCTGTTCTTATTTTGCACTGTAACTCAAAGTAGCTCAGCTAAGGTGATGTTACATTTCTGCAATACCTATAAGCCATCTACTCACTCCAGGGGCATTACTGACTGACTTGTGAAGAAGCTTTGCAAGCGACGCCTTTTAGGCCTAGCTCATTTGGGTGACAGCCTGTAAACACTATTCTGAAGAGCAGGTATGAGAGCTGCAACACCACATTTTCATAGCTTTCAATCAGCTTGCAGCAGCTTTTCTGAAGGTTTTAAATCACCCCCTTCAGCTACCAACGAGCATTTGAGATAATTTAAACTAGATGGGAGCAGGTTTTAAAAGGCTCTCAACAAGCTTAAAGTGACAGCCAGGACTCCCATTAAGATCTGGAGGTAAATGTTGCTTCAAGAGCTTTAAGAAAGCTGCACAAAGCTGGCTGAAACCTTTGCAAATGCTTTGTGAGCAGGTTGTGGAAGTTTCCCAGACTGCCCCGTACATGGAGTGTACCTGCTAATTATGTGCACCATTATTGTCCTTTTGATGACATTGTAACACAACTGCTTTTAATATATTGTTCATGTTTCTCTGGACTTAATAGCATAAAGAGAAAGAACATAACGCATAATATAACATGTGTAACGTTAACCAGAAAGTCTTATTTAGTTCAGCGAATACTCACATAATTGTGAATGAGATCTGGGTGACTTTTCTCCACACCATCATCCAAGATGCTGACCACCACATTCTTGCCAGTGTACCCTCTCTGCCAAGCAGCCATGACATTCATTTCTGATCGGCAACGGCTGCTTTTATCCCCACAGTGCTGAAAAACACAAAAACAGGTTAAAAAGAAACAGAAAAGCATTGGATTTATTCATTAAGACACCACAAAGAGAATGTGCAAGGTACAGTGGCCAAAAATAGAATCAGAAGACTATTACAGTATCGAGCTACTGTACACATTGGACATCACTGTTCCTTGTATGGCTATTGAGTAAGCCTATTAGTAAATTGTTCTGAGATGTTTCAGGATGATAAAATTCTGTACACCACGACTCCAGCTTTTAGCAACTGGAAGGAGACCAAAAAATTAAGTTGTACTTTAAAGCAGCTATTTCTGTTAGTACCTGGTTATCAAATCCAAGTTTACAATAGACACATTCAAAAATCTTCTAGAGGTCTTCCTCAGGGAATACAATATACAGGGATATGGGAATCCTTAATGACTCTTATACACACATTGAACAGTACCTTTTATGCCCTGTAGATGTACATATAAGGCTGTAGGCAAAGATTGTACACTGCTTTTTCCAGGAGAAATTCAACAGGTAGATTTTTCAGGGTACTGCTTAGGGAAAATTAACATTGCTAGACATTCTATATAAGATGCAAATCTAAGTGACCGTAACCTTCAATATCTGTAATTTTGCACTGTGTCTCAACGGTCTTCCTCGGGGAATACAATATACAGGGAAATGGGAATTGTTAGCAACTCTTACACACACAGTACTGGACCTTTGTCTTTATTCAACCTTAACTATGTAACTGTTCTACCATCTTCATATTCCAAGGCATTAATGTTTTCATTTTCCTTCCCTCTTCTACTTTTCTAAATGCTGCTACCTGCTATGAATTATCGGTACATAAAATATTTACTCTGTGTACAGTAACAGCTGCTGAAGGGTATTAACCTGCCTTTAACTATAGGTTGTGCATAGTGCACCACACAGCAGCTTCAACATGCACCTAGAAGTCTGACACCATTTTATTTGGTCACCTACTTTTGTAGAAGGAAATAAAACATCTAAATAAAATGTATAGGAATAATCTGTATTGGAGTACAGTATTCTGTATAAAAACACTGTTTTTATACAGAATACCTGAAGAAATCTAATTTACTGCTCATGTGATTGACTTATTGCTTTTATTGTTTGCCCAGAGGCTGATGCCATATTACACAAATCCTCTGCAACAAGAGATTATTTTTTAGCGATTTTTTTTGTTTGTTGGACAAGTGCACCTTGAGGGATGACTATGCTATTCTATTTTTTCTTATTATTGTCAGACTGCTCAGGGAGGGATACTAAAAGGCACAACCCCCCAGTCAGTGTGAGATAGGGCATGTTAAGGTTTGCATCAATTTTTTTGCACTGGAAAAAGCTAAAAACATGCAGTAAAAACACACACACAGAAAGATTTTATATATATATTTATATA